AGAACGAAGAGAAGCACGTTTTGTACTTTGAGTATGAACACATTATTCTTGAACTTAATAGGTTAATGTAACCTATTCTTGTAGATTACTGTAGTTGTTAACCATATTTTTAAAAAGCACCTCTCAGTTTTACAATACCATTAGTCCAGCTGAATTTTAATAGATGAAATTCTGGTTATGTCTTTCTTATTGAAGCACAGAGCAGAAAACATGGCCCTTTGGAGGCTGAACAGGATTTTGGATGGAATTTTTAATATCAAATTGTACATGTTTTGTGGAGTAGAGGCCTAGTATTTTGAGTTGTAGTATCTTGATATGTTATCATGAACTTGTTCATCTCCAAACAGTACATTTGTAATGTAATGGGACCGTAACTTTATTTTTTAAATAAATGAGAATATTTGACCATACAGGTTTTGGAGACCATGTGTATATATGTAAAGTCACTGTATCATTGTTGATTGTAAAACCAGTATAAAGTATCAGAGCATGTGATTGGAGTGTAGCGATGAGAATTTCCGCTCAAGGAGCGGTACACTCTCACTGCTCACAAAAATAATCTGCATTGCATTTAAACTGTAGCATGGCATCAAAATCACTGAGCAGTTAAATCCACATTCAAGCAGAAATGATTTATTTCAAGATGTGAGTGGGTGACACTCAAGTCTTTTTCAAACATGCTGCCCTGTGCTCGCTCCCGCTCCGCTCACATGCTCTGTAAAGTACCCATTCTAGTTTTACGTAAAATGCATTTTCATCATTTGGTGATAATTCTGTTAAAATTCTATCACAGGAATTAAACATGTATGAAGTTTTGATAAATGTGGAATAGATTGATAAAAGTGTGCACAGAAACCTTGGGGTGACTCTCAGGAAGAGAAACATCATTATTATAGTATTTATGTTTATTTTTTACCTTTCAGAAAGAAAATGACCGAGATCACAAGGTCAGGCTTGCTATCGGCAACGGCATACGGACAGATACTTGGTCCGAGTTTCTTCAGAGGTACGGAGATGTACGAATCTGCGAGTGTTACGGCGCAACTGAGAGCAATGTTGGCTTTCTGAACTACATCGGGAAACTTGGTGCATGTGGACGGGAGTTTTTTCTGTATAAGGTATGATAGCTGAACATGATGTAATTGTATTCCCTGGACTTTCGGGAACACATGGTTTCAATACCACATTCACTTTGGTATGCAAGACAATAACTCAAAAACCGTTTCATGTATCTTTTTTCGATTTTGCAGTGATTCATTAGGAATGAAATCTGATTACATTTGGGGACAGATCACCTCAAAATTGAAGCAGTGCCACGTAGTAATAGCCAAAATAGGCAAGAATTTTGACACTTAATCCTGTTGATGATAACTCGGTAATTGTTTGATATATCTTTTTCAAACTTAACAGAGGCATTGTAGGAGAGCTGGAATGGAAATTGTTTAGTTTTGAAAGTGAACGCCCCAAAATTGAAGCAGCGCTGCATAGTGATAGCAAAAAAAAGGATAGTTTTAACATTTAATAAGATGATAACTCAAAAAGTTTTTTGATGGATCTTTTTCAAGCTTTGCCCAGGCATTATATGGGTGCCAGACTGGAACTGATTAAATTTTGACACAGATTGCCCCAAAACTGAAACAACGCCGCTTAATGGCAACAAAAGGAAGGATGAAAGCAAATGACATTTGACCTTGTGAATGTGATAACTCAAATAATGTTTGATGGATCTTAGTACTGCTTCACAAACTACATTATACAGATGAGGATCTACGCCTGGTTTCATTTTCAGATAGATTGCCTCAAAAATGAAGCAGCAGCACTGTGTAGCTGCAAAGGAAATAGCAGCTGTTGAAAACACTTGGTCTTGTGAACACAGTAACTCTGAAAACATTGTATGGATCTTTTTTAAGCTTTGCGGGCACATTATAGGGGCGACAAACTGGAATTGTTCAAATTTTAAGATACCTCCCCCCAGAACCGAAGCAACGCTGCATAGCGATAGCAAAAAACAAAAGAGTTTCAGACATTTGATCCTGTTACTGAGATAACTCAAAAAGTATTTGACAGATCTATGCATACATGTTGTAAGGGTTAGGATCTGGACCTGACCAAATTTTGAGACAAACTGCACCAAAATTGAAGCAGTGTTGGATAGTCATCGCAAAGAGAAGGCACAATTTGTGTGGGTGAAGGTCTGGACCTATTGTGATAAATTGCACCAAAACTGAAGCAACAGTGCTTAGTGCCAGCTAAGAAAAGGATGAGATTATTAGAGGCTTATCCTTGTGAACAGGATCGATCTATTTGTCATTATTTACTCTATTTGACCTTTGATGGATCTTATTATCACTTTACAAAAGATGGATGAAAATCTACACCTAAAAATATACACTTGATGAAAGTCTGAAAAAGAAAGAGATTGACCATGTTTAACCATTCAAAATGTGAATTCAGCAATTTTGGGCAGCGTGTTGCTCAGCGGGCTAAGTCTCTGTACCTGTGATCAGAAAGTTACTAGCTCAGTCCCAGCCTTGGCATCTGTGGGTCCTTGAGCAAATCCCTTGACACCCAGCATCCTGGGCTGCCCTTCACAAGCAGCTTGCTCTCACCTATAGAGAGTAAGCTGGGGGAGGCATATTTATCCCCTGGGGATAAATAAAGTGTCGGTTATTATCAAAAAAGATCAAGTCACTTGTTCGTCAATGCAACACTGTAAATGGATATGTATACATTCCTACCAGCTAATTAACTCTTACATTTCCAGGTGATCCATCCAGTATTTCTAGAAATTGTACGAATTGGAGAGTGCAGGGGGAGTTTGGTTTAGATAGCCAGACCAAATGGGCTGTCCAGGGAGTGTAATGCTGTCATTTCTAACAGCGACAAATCTATTTTTTTTCTAAATAATATATAATCCATAAACGTGGAAGCTCAGAAAATGATGTACAGATTGTAGACTGAATGATGAAACATAGATATGTGTTAATAAGAATTACTGTCTTTTAATTTTTCTCTTTTAAAATCTAATTTAATCATTTGTGTTCTGCAGATGTTTTGCCGTTACGCTTTGATTAAATATGACACAGAGAAGGAAGAACCAGTGAGGGACTCCAGAGGGTTCTGTGTGCAGGTGCCAAAAGGTATAAAACACAAACTTCATCAAACTCCTCCTCTGTAAATTATACAGGAGTAAAAAGCCGCGGCGTTTGGTGTCATTAACCCTTTTCACTTGCTGTAGGAGAAACCGGGCTTTTAGTGGC